AATTTTTCTTAGTACCATATACACCAATGTCTTAAGGGAACCGAGGTAAAGGGCTCTGCAACATCAAAAATATCTGAATACCGTCCTGTAGCCGCGACCCGCGATATCTCAGACTGGTACCGGCTACTAGCTGAACCCGACGACAGAACTGGGTCGGGGGTCGGGGTCAGTGTGTCAGGTACGGTAAAGGGTCACGCGTATAGAGGTAACGAACCCGTATAATCGATTGCGTTTCAAAAAAAAAAATAATAATGGCACACTCATACACCAATAATGAACTCGTTGATATGTTGTTAATTTATGGCGAATGTCTTCAAAATGATACAGAATCGTCGCGAGTGTATGCAGATCGTTTCCCTAGACGACATCATCCAAGGCCCCGCAGATTTATGTATCAGAGAGTCAGGGATACGGGCCATTTGGAGGAATTTCGAGGTGGGCACAGTGGGAGGCCTAGACAACCACGAATGGTGGAAGTTGAGGAAAAACTACTGAATCGCGTAGACGAGAATTCCTCAACAAGCACTAGAGACGTGGCTAGAGAAGTGCAAGTATCAAAAACTAAAGTGTGGCAAACGTCCAACGTGTACAAGCCGTTCAACCTGACGATTTTCCAGCAAGAGTGCGGTTTTGTGAGTGGTTGTTGCATCAACATGACAATAATCCGGTCTTTTTGAAGTGCATATTGGTGACAGACGAATCTACGTTCACGCGTAATGGGGTGAATAACTTTCGATTTCAGGCAGAGACGTAATTAGCCCTTCTCGTCAACTGGATAGTGAGTACTTTTTCCTTTATTTTTTTTACTTGGTCGCCCTCGTTTCACTACACATTACCTTTGTTATTTCAAGGGTAGTTGTTTCTGAAAAGGAAAACCCCAACTTTGCGGATACCCTGTATATATATATATATAGAGAGAGAGAGAGAGAGAGAGACAGAAAGAGAAAGGATCATGCGGAGAAATGTATATAACAAATGGGGAAAAATCCGCAAAAAGAAGAAGAGTGGATTCGGGTAGACAATATGATAGGTAACCTGTACTTCTGCTTGTTGGCTTCATCAGGCCCGATATCAATGCACGTATGCAACTACAAAAGAAGATACACATGCCCATACATCCGGATACGGGTGTTACCTGAGGAAAGCCCAAAGGATCTACAAAGGTACCCAAAGGTATGTATATTAAAATTGATTTTTGAAAAGGCAAAATATATACACAATATAAAAGTTAGATTTTTTTTGGCTTATCTAGATATTGTTAAGCAGTTTTTCAAATTTCGTCAACTAGCTTATATATACTGTTTGAGAATGTTTTCGGTAGATTTCGCATTAAAATCGGTGTAGTTAGGTAGAATACAGCTAAAATCGGTAGTCCTACCGAAAAATCGGTTGACCTGGTAACGTTATTTATAAAACTCTTACAAAACGATGAAGATTAATTTTTATAGCAATAAAATATGCCAAGCCGCCTTATATGGTCATCAAAATGGGTTCTGAATAAAAATGACTATACTTGACGCTTGTCGTATAATTATTTATTATTCCCTTTATTTACAATGTTAGCTAAGTACTATCATAAATGTTTAATGAGCAAGCAGTACCGAGTACTCAAGACTCTGCGGCCTTCACTGGCAAAAATACGTGCTAAAATTTATCCACACACATATACGCAGATTCGATATTTTGTATTAATATTAACGAATATTTACGAGTATTTGTCAAGGTTCTAATGATTGTCTTTTTAGATCGGTTTGCCGATCGTCATTTCTGGAGTGAAGATTTAACCAAATGCCACCTGCTGCTCTCAAAGTGACCCTGAATGAGAGCGCGTAGTTTTCGCGGCCTTCTGCTAAGGTGATGCGGTACTGCTTCAGAAATACGGAGATGATCGTCTTAATCTCCAGCAAAGCGAATTTGTAACCTGGAAAATCGTTAGTTTTACATTATCATATCAAAACCGAAACATGAGTGCTAAAGAGGCAATCTCTAAGTTCTTATTCTAGGAGACCGTTCTCATCGAAAGCATCTGGCACTCACAGCTCGACGGCACATTGATTCAAGGACAAGCGTTCACACCAAACAGATGGTAACCCGACAAGCTGTTCAACGTTTGCTGACGCTGCTATAGCTAGTCTATTTGAAGAAAATATGTCATTTTCCGGATGACATTGCGACACCTTAGGTCATGTTCCAATCGTATCATCAAGAAATCAGTGATAATACGAAGAAACCGCTTCTTCGTCGCGTTCTTGTGTTTTTGAAAGCAATATGTATTCAGGGGGGAGGAGTGGTCTTTATAGTTCGAATTCTCCATTCACCAGAACCTCACGGCCTGGTAGAATACGTTTTTTTTATACAGGGTTATTTCACAAAAAAGTGCCACTGCTATCTGCAATTAAATCCATACCGGAATGCCGAGCATCGGCAAGCATCTTAGCCGAAAGAATACAGAAAGCGGTCATCCTCGGTTTCCTCAGTCTACTTAGGGCACACGATTTGCGGACCAACTGCAACAGCAACATAGCGTGTCGGAGCCCAGGTTGCCTATTTTTCTTATCTTTTGCTTTGTAATAATAATAATAATAATAATAATAATAATAAACATAATAATAATAATAGTAATAATAATAGACGTCTTTATTTCTTTACAACATTGTAATGCAGCTAAGGTAAGACTTAAAAGGCAAAATTTATCATTAGCTGCTCTTAGATTCAACCATAAAAGTCAGTAGCAGATGTTGATGATAATAAAATATTATTCAGAACAAATAGTTTAAATTTCCAGTAATAAATCATTACGATACAGAGAAAACTGGTATACTTTCCAAAACAAAGTTCTCTAAAAAGTAGAAAAGCTAAAAAAATTGTAAAGAAAGTAAAAAAAATGATTATGAAATCAAGTCATTGAAGTAATGATAATTTCACTTTTAGTCGAAAAGTTAGTAACGAGTATTGCTCATGCAGTTTTGGTAAATAATTATATATGGTGACAACAGTGTAGGAGAAACTGCATTGAAATAGGGTTGTTGATTATTCAGATATCCTGATAATTTTGTCTTTAAGTTGTTTAGAATGAATATCATTCTTAAAGGAATTTTTCTTGCAAGTAATTCGAAATCTATGTTAGATATGAACTTAATTTTGCTAAAAGCACTATATATGTTACGTGTGTCTCAAATTCGAACCTCACTTTTGGGATATCCGAAACTGTACAACGAATGTCACATGATATTTAGATACTATGGTTCGTAGCATCAGTGATTTCGGCGTAACGTCAAGAGACACGGTCAATAAATATCGCATCTCATGATAAATATTCCACGCGGAGTACTATAAGAGGACGTAGGTAAATAAAAAATTGGAATTTGGACAGTTTGGAAATTTGTAAAAGTATTTACTCTAAGTCACTTTTATTTTTTCCTAGATTTAATCTTGAAGTTTTATATTACTGCGTAGCATGCTATCATCTTTGATATTCTATGAAATAAATGACTGCATGATAATTTCAAGACTTACTCAAGAAAAATTATAGTAAAGGTGAAATGAAAATGAAATCAGAGTTGAAAGCTATTCGCCTATGCAAAAATGGCAAACATACTGTTGCAACTAACAGGACATAAACATTTTGAAGGTGTTTTCATCCATTTTCCTATTCTTTTATAGATATATAACTTTGAAGTTTGATACTAAAAGTTACCCAGGATCCTTAATTACATTCACTCTAAAGAATATACAGGGTGACTTCGAAGTTGAGTCATTTATTTTAACAGTGAGTAGATCTGATCAAAAGAAATGTTTTTTTCCTTTAACATTTTTCTGGTAAAATTAAATTAACAAAGTTATAGCCCTTTAGAAGTTTGAGTACCGCCCTGTCTCAATAATAATATTATGTACTCGTGTTTGGCAACAACGGATATAATCCGCCATATCGGTTCATCGCATCGGAAACAAAAAAGCGAAACAATTTGAAACGTTTATCACGATGTCAGTCAATGTTTCAGTCGGTAACGCGTGAGTGAATAGTGGTGTTTGTTGCGTGGCTCAAACGAAATAAAAAATGGCACATGTTTACGAAAATGCTGAACTTGTGAACTTGAGGACATGATTCTTATTTAATCGAGTGCAACCAACCCCTCGTGCCTTTGTTAATGTAGTACAAAGGACTCGTGAATCAGGTGACTTAAGACCTCACAGGGGGAGAGCATGCCGGTGCTCCAAGACCGCACGAACAAATACAGGTCCGCAATGAAATACTTGTCGGGAGGATACTTTATAAAACAAGGTAACATTTTTTTTATTTTTTTTTATTTTTACACACATATTTTGGTTTATCTTCCTTCTACAATCATTATCTGAAAATTATTGACTCAACTTCAAAGTATACCTAAATCTTTTTGCACATTTTTTTTACAAGGATTACACACATTTGGCTTGCTTGAATGATTCAAGAAAGTAATCCTAGTAGTTTTCCATATCCATATGAATTGTCAATTCGTCGTGGACGACTTGCTTTCCACGCCCATCGCCTCGATCGTGAATATTAATTGAAATGCAAATAGAAAGAAAAATATCAAGAATTGTTACGTAGATGTTTTGTGGAACTTCCACCATTTTTTGAAGTTGCCTCTCCGTTTTGAGCTGGGCACGTCCTTGGAATTCGCCCTTGTTGATTGATCTGGCTAGATTTTGTTTGCGAACAACGTTACACTTTTTTCAGTGAAGACCTTAGGAATAAAAATGGTAATTTATACTCCGTTTCTATCAAGTAAATATGAACTTAGCAACATCTTCCACAACCTGAACACGAGGCTGCCAGTCGCTTAGCAGATGGTTTTTAGTGAGAACTTGAAAGCACCGCCACTGTAGGCGAAATGTGATTGAAGTCGACTTAGCGTTGGGTTGCTTTTGGTGAGAACAGTGCCTCGGGAAATCATTGAAGCAAAGATTGCAACGAAATAACGACATGCAAAGCACACATTATAGCTACATTGTATTGTTCCTCTATCACGACAAGAATGTTTTATTACTACCAAGGCATCTATTGACAGTAGTGATATTTTATAATTGGGTCAAATATAGTAGTGGGATTTAACACATTTAACCTACGATATCTTGGCTTGGGAAGCTGCATGCTCAACTCATAAGTATGATTTGGATATTTTTCAAAAAAATGATTAATAAAATATTTTTTAACAAATCAAAATTATATTCAACTGATATTCAAACATGTACACGTATAAGACTTAAAAAAGCTTTATATCTTACATGCTATAACCAACAATCACAAATTTATTGATAACAACAAAAAAATTAAACACAATCAACATACAAGACAGGAACAGTTGAACCTAGACCAAATAAATCTATAACAGAGCGAACATACCTTTATTTAGGTCCAAACTTATACGTACATTTACCTGACTTTATAAAGGATCTACGCTTTGTGAATAATTTCAAGAAGAAGTTAAAAGAATGGATTTCTTCCGGACGTACACAAATTAATAATACATGTGAACATCAAATAGTTCATTGATTAGTTGTATCCCTAATCATATTTCAATAGTATCTGCAATTGCAACATCAATGGTCCACCTATGGGCCGTTACATCATATACTTGCTTACCCACTCATTATATCATTATTATTATTGTTTTTATTGGCGAAAAGGATACCTCCATTATTCAAATTTCTATTATTTTAGAAGGAGATAGTACAACTGGGGTTAGGTTCAAATTTCTATTATTTTAGAGGGAGATAATACAACTGGAGTTAGGTAATTCTTTCAAGCGCAATTTACTCACCTATACAGTTCCTGGGTCCGATGCTGAATGGTATAAACGAATATGGATGCATACGTTCAATATTTTCTTGTGAGAACCTATCTGGATCAAATTTCAATGGATCTGGGAAATAGTGTGGCAGTCTATGAGTTATAAATGGAGACACGAAGATATTAGTGCCCCTACCGAGTATATGTTCATCTAAAAAAGAAAATATTTTTTTTTGTATAAATTATATGCTCTCGTATATCTACTTTAGATACGTTATAAGAATTCTTTAGACACATACACGCGTAAGATTGAAGAAAACGTAGCAAAAATCATGTAACTAATCCTCATACTATATGTCATTTTTTTATCTTAATTAAAAATGACAATACTGGAGCTTAAATTCTAATAACATATATATATATATATAACAAAAAATAGGAACATAATGGGCAACATCCACAAAAAAGAAGGAAAGCGGATTTGAGTAGAAAATAGGATAGGTAACCCGAGCGATACGTATTTCTGCTGGCTGGCTTCATCAGGCCCGAAATGAATGCACATGAGCAACTACAAAAGTAGATACACATGCCCATACATCCGGATACGGGTGTAAGCTGAGGAAACAAAGATGGAGAGGGAAAAGATAGAAGTGATCACACGAAGTCCACACAAAAGCCAACCTACACATTGTAGTATAAAATCGCTAGAAGACCTCAAATTTTCAACGCGACATCTAATTACAACTACGCGGCGGTTATAGCCACTAGCTGTGGCACTTCAATCCCAAAGGATCTACAAAGAGAAAATGATCATGCGGGGAATGGCATCCTCAAGAAAACAAATGTAACGTGATTGAATTCATAGAAAAAGATGCTATCAGATACAAGGTGTACTTTTTTCGGATTATATAAAAAAATAAAGTTGATGATGGTTTCTCAAAAACGAAACGTCGGACACGGAATTCAAAAACACTATCATGTGCTTAAAGAGTGCCATTGAAGAAGTTTCACTAGTTTTTTGATACTTTTTGAAATAAGGTCAGTTAGCCATGAAACTTTCACAAGTTACTCAACAGAAAGTAAATATGCCGCAAAAGAACGTATCTTTTTCCTAATTTAACATAAGCGGTAGCTCCCACAGGTATTGAGATCCCCAAGCATAGGTTCTTTTTCTTGGACCCTGTATGCACAAACTAGAGTGAACCCGAACTTGAAACGCACATTCTAAGAATGTGAATATACATTTTCACGCTTACTGTGAAGTTATTCTGTCACACTGCGTATACATTAGGATAGCCTATGCTATGTATGATGCATTGACCCATTAGTTTTTCGCGAAACACGCCAATGAGCCTTTGGTATCTTCTTTAGTGACGTGATTATCTTCATATAAAACTTCGCTGTACACAAGCACATGTCATGTTTTGAAATGCATCGCGGCGGACATGAAATGTCGACAGAAAACTGATTGTCGCTAACAGTTTAAATGGTGCATAACAATGACCAGTTTATTATTCTTTTTTGAATACTTAATCACCCTACTAGTAAAGTAGAATATCAGGAAATGTTTATCTACTATGTTTTATGTCAAAGGCATTCTATTCTAGCCTTTCGTTATCGTGAGGTCAATGCTGAATACCAAGCATGTCTGGGACCCGAGGACGAGGCGATATAGCCCTAGTGAAATGATTGTTTCTTTTATATATAGGATATCCCAGAAGTCGACGTCAAGCCGGAAGCGATCTTATTGAATCTAAAACGCCGTGTACATCTAACTCTTTGTGTAGGGTCTTCCTGATTCCATGCCTGACATCAAATCACCACCGGATTTTGACTTCTGTGCACCCTGGGGGCTATTTCTCTGAAGTACCAGGCAGCCTCACACAAGCCTACTATTCACCCCCAATCAAATTCGCTAAGTTGTTGGAAACTTTCTCGTCGTCTCACTTTGGGCATGATAAACAGATTAAAACGGCTCTTCACAACGTATTATACGGTGATCAAATGCCAATTGTAGCTGTAAAACACCGCTATCGCTTACTGACTTTGTACAGTGGATTTTATAAAAAACCATTTAATATGGTTCGAAAGCTGATCAAAAATGTTTGTAATAAATTCATTATGACTGGGTGTTTTTTCTATGCCACTTAGTATGTAACTTCAAAGGAATATTATAGACCTTACCTAGTTTGACGTCCTCAGTAAGCACTCTGGAGAAAACCGGAACACTAGGAACCAACCTTAAGGATTCTTTTATAACTTGTTCCAGATATTTCATATTGTTGAGCTGAGTTACACTGATCATGCTTCCGGTTCTTAAATTGTCTATTTCCTCGTAAACTTTTCTTTGAACATCCGGATGTTTCGCAAGAAAAAATAATGTGAAAGCTATTGCAGCACCTACAGAATCTTGACCCTTGAAATAAACCAACAACTAACAGAGAACTGACTAAAATAAAAAAGTCAACTAGAAATCGAAAAGTTCTTACCGCTAACATAAACGTTACCCCTTCGTTTATCATATCCTCATCCGAAAAGTCTTTGTTGTTATCGGCAATTTCAATAAACATGTCTAAAAGACATCTTAAAGATGATTTATCGTATTCTATTTTCCGTCTTTCTAAAACCTGTAATAAACAAGAGAAACCAATTTCAGAATTCAGATTGTAATCGCAAATAATTCATCAAGTAATATAGTACGTTTATTTGATAGTATACGACCTACATCACGAAAAACCATGTCAATCATTTCTGTCTGCCTGTCTGCCTGTCGGTATGTCTGTCGCTCTATCGGTTTGCCTGTCGGTCTGCCTGTCTATCTGTTTGTCGGTGTGTTTGTTGATCTGTCTGTTGGTCTACTTGAAGGTCTGTCTGTCGGTCTGTCTGTCGGCCTGTCTGTCGGTCTGTCTGTCGGTCTGTCTGTCGGTCTGTCTGTCTGTCGGTCGGTCTGTCGGTCGGTCTGTCTGTCGGTCTGACAGTCGCTCTGTCTGTCTGCCTGTCTGTCTGTCGGTCTGTCTGTCGGTCTGTCTGTCGTCTGTCGGTCTGTCTGTCGGTCTGTCTGTCGGTCTGTCTGTCGGTCTGTCTGTCGGTCTGTCTGTCGGTCTGTCTGTCTGTCGGTCTGTCTGTCGGTCTGTCTGTCGGTCTGTCTGTCTGTCTGTCTGTCGGTCTGTCTGTCGGTCTGTCTGTCGGTCTGTCTGTCGGTCTGTCGGTCTGTCTGTCGGTCTGTCTGTCGGTCTGTCTGTCGGTCTGTCTGTCGGTCTGTCTGTCGGTCTGTCTGTCGGTCTGTCTGTCGGTCTGTCTGTCGGTCTGTCTGTCGGTCTGTCTGTCGGTCTGTCTGTCGGTCTGTCTGTCGGTCTGTCTGTCGGTCTGTCTGTCGGTCTGTCTGTCGGTCTGTCTGTCGGTCTGTCTGTCGGTCTGTCTGTCGGTCTGTCTGTCGGTCTGTCTGTCGGTCTGTCTGTCGTCGTCTGTCTGTCGGTCGGTCTGTCGGTCTGTCTGTCTGTCGGTCTGTCTGTCTGTCTGTCGGTGTCTGTCGGTCTGTCTGTCGGTCTGTCTGTCGGTCTGTCTGTCTGTCGGTCTGTTTGTCTGTCTGTCTGTCTGTCGGTCTGTCTGTCTGTCGGTCTGTCTGTCTGTCGGTCTGTCTGTCTGTCGGTCTGTCTGTCTGTCGGTCTGTCTGTCTGTCGGTCTGTCTGTCTGTCGGTCTGTCTGTCTGTCGGTCTGTCTGTCTGTCGGTCTGTCTGTCTGTCGGTCTGTCTGTCTGTCGGTCTGTCTGTCTGTCGGTCTGTCTGTCTGTCTGTCTGTCGGTCTGTCTGTCGGTCTGTCTGTCGGTCTGTCGGTCTGTCGGTCTGTCGGTCTGTCTGTCGGTCTGTAGTCGGTCTGTCTGTCGGTCTGTCTGTCGGTCTGTCTGTCGGTCTGTCTGAGGTCTGTCTGTCGGTGTCTGTCGGTCTGTCTGTCGGTCTGTCTGTCGGTCTGTCTGTCGGTCTGTCTGTCGGTCTGTCTGTCGGTCTGTCTGTCGGTCTGTCTGTCGGTCTGTCTGTCGGTCTGTCTGTCGGTCTGTCTGTCGGTCTGTCTGTCGGTCTGTCTGTCGGTCTGTCTGTCGGTCTGTCTGTCGGTCTGTCTGTCGGTCTGTCTGTCGGTCTGTCTGTCGGTCTGTCTGTCGGTCTGTCTGTCGGTCTGTCTGTCGGTCTGTCTGTCGGTCTGTCTGTCGGTCTGTCTGTCGGTCTGTCTGTCGGTCTGTCTGTCGGTCTGTCTGTCGGTCTGTCTGTCGGTCTGTCTGTCGGTCTGTCTGTCGGTCTGTCTGTCGGTCTGTCTGTCGGTCTGTCTGTCGGTCTGTCTGTCGGTCTGTCTGTCGGTCTGTCTGTCGGTCTGTCTGTCGGTCTGTCTGTCTGTCGTGTCTGTCGTCTGTCTGTCTGTCGGTTGTCTGTCTGTCGGTCTGTCAGTCTGTCGGTCTTTCTGTCTGTCGGTCTGTCTGTCTGTCTGTCGGTCTGTCTGTCTGTCGGTCTGTCTGTCGGTTCTGTCTGTCGGTCTGTCTGTCGGTCTGTCTGTCTGTCGGTCTGTCGGTCTGTTTGTCTGTCGGTCTGTCTGTCGGTCTGTCTGTCGGTCTGTCTGTCGGTCTGTCTGTCGGTCTGTCTGTCGGTCTGTCTGTCTGTCGGTCTGTCTGTCTGTCGGTCTGTCTGTCTGTCTGTCGGTCTGTCTGTCTGTCGGTCTGTCTGTCGGTCTGTCTGTCTGTCTGTCTGTCGGTCTGTTTTGCTGTCGGTCTGTCTGTCTGTCGGTCTGTCTGTCTGTCGGTCTGTCTGTCTGTCGGTCTGGTCTGTCTGTCGGTCTGTCTGTCTGTCGGTCTGTCTGTCTGTCGGTCTGTCTGTCTGTCGGTCTGTCTGTCTGTCGGTCTGTCTGTCTGTCGTCTGTCTGTCTGTCTGTCGGTCTGTCTGTCTGTCGGTCTGTCTGTCTGTCGGTCTGTCTGTCTGTCGGCTCTGCTGTTTGTCGGTCTGTCTGTATGTCGGTCTGTCTGTCGGTAGTCTGTCGTTCGTCGGTCTGTCTGTTGTCGTCTGTCGTATGTCGGTCTGTCTGTTCTGTCGGTCTGTCTGTCTGCGTTTTGTCGTCTGTCGGTTGTCTGTCTGTCGGTCGTCTGTCTGTCGGTCTGTCTGTCTGTCGGTTTGTCTGTCCGGTCTGTCTGTCGGTCTTCCTGTCTGTCGGTCTGTCTGTCGGTCTGTTCTGTCTGTCTGTCTGTCTGTCGGTCTGTCTGTCGGTCTTCTGTCGGTTTGTCTGTCGGTCTGTCTGTCGGTCTGTCTGTCGGTCTGTCTGTCGGTCTGTCTGTCTGTCGTCTGTCTGTCGGTTGTCTGTCGTCTGTGCGGCGTGTCTGTAGGGTCTGTCTGTCGGTCTTCTGTCGGTACTGTCTGTCGGTCTGTCTGTCTGTCGGTCTGTCTGTCGGTCTGTCTGTCGGTCTGTCTGTCGGTCTGTCTGTCGGTCTGTCTGTCGGTCTGTCTGTCGGTCTGTCTGTCGGTCTGTCTGTCGGTCTGTCTGTCGGTCTGTCTGTCGGTCTGTCTGTCGGTCTGTCTGTCGGTCTGTCTGTCGGTCTGTCTGTCGGTCTGTCTGTCGGTCTGTCTGTCGGTCTGTCTGTCGGTCTGTCTGTCGGTCTGTCTGTCGGTCTGTCTGTCGGTCTGTCTGTCGGTCTGTCTGTCGGTCTGTCTGTCGGTCTGTCTGTCGGTCTGTCTGTCGGTCTGTCTGTCGGTCTGTCTGTCGGTCTGTCTGTCGGTCTGTCTGTCGGTCTGTCTGTCGGTCTGTCTGTCCGTCTGACTGTCGGACTGTCTGTCGGCCTGACAGTCGGTCTGTCTGGCTATCTGTCTGTATGTCGGTCTATCTGTCTGTCTGTCTGACTGTCTGTCAGTCGGTCTGTTTGTCCGCTAATGGTTGGCCCTGTTTTAGTTTCGAAAGTACCGCTCGAATTTTGACAAAATTTTGTGTCAATTAAACTTCGCTTTTGACTTTTCAGGGCCGCCAGATTATTTTCAGAATTTTCTTTGTAGTAGAGGTTGAAAATTGGAGATAATAAGTGGTAGAGATTATAAGTGTTGCATTTTTGGCATCAGTGAAGACGTTTTACTATTCGGGAATTTGTGACAATGCACATTTGTCCAGATTTGCGTTCAGAGTCAATCTACTTGAAGTCAATTTTTGTTATCGTTTCATTCATTCATTCATAGTTGACATTTACCTTTCTAGTGTAATTGTGTAAGCTAACTTTTTGATGATACTCTTTTTTCGCAAAAGGTGTCAGGTTGAATATACTCTCTAAAAGTAACCATGGTTTGGCAATTCTCTGAGTCAACATAACTTCCCCCCTAAAAGGAAGAAATATTGTAACTTGATATAGTTCGAGTCGTACAAAGTAGAATGGTACTTCCTGTAAGGTGAGTCTTCATCTACCGGAACGCCCAAAATCGATTCTGGAATTATGAAAAAAGATATGTCAAGATTTGTAAACATACAGGTATATCACCTGTACCATCATTTAATAAAAAAATGGCTACATGTCGCTTTCACTATATTTTGACACAAATACAGACCACCAGTGTCTGTAAGTATGGGTTATGTATCCGGAAGGATTATGTTACATATCGGGTTTTCCAATAGGGACTTGACAACTTTGAACTTTCACTGTGAACGCACCTTCACCAAATCAATTACCGAACTGTCAATGTCAAAACATTCAGTAAAGAAAACATTTTCATCGTAGTGAAGTATGTACACGAACGAACAACGCTTAACAAATAATTGATATCTACTACCGAAATTCCGAGTCGGTGACCGCAACTTTAAGAGCGTTAACGCCAATTTTTGGTAGTAATTCTCGCCCCAGTAGACAAGCAATAATTCATAGTCTAGTAAAAAAACTGAGTCCACATATTCGCTGATGGATGTTCCCGTGCCAGTGAGACAACGTGTTGGTCGAAGTGCCAAAAATATTGCTGCCGTTCAAGCTTCCGTCGCAAACGAGCAGAACACGTCGATTTCACGGCGTTCTCAAGAAATGGGCATCGCTCAGACCACACTATGGCGAATTTTGCCAAGAGATCTTGGCCTGCACCCTTAGAAGATCAAGTTGACTCAAGAACTAAAGCCGTTCGATCACATGAGGCGACGTACGTTCTCGAATTAGGCTCTAGAAAAGTTAATTAAATTGAATCGCAAAATCATCTTCAGTGATGAGGCGCATTTTTGGCTGAACAAACAGAATATGCGTTATTGGTCAGGTGAAAACCCTCATGTGCTTCAACAAACACCACTTCATCCACAAAAACTAACTATGGTGTAGCTGTTATGCCGGTGGTGTCATTGGGTCGTTTCTTTTCGATGATCAAAATGACCGTCATGTTACAGTCAACGGTGATCGCTACATTGTTGCAACGTTATTTTTTTGGTCAATTGGAAAGGCTAGACATTAATGATAGGTGGTTTCAACAAGACGGTGCCACAAGTCACACAGCGGGTGTATCAATGGATATATTGAAATCAAAATTCGATGAACGTGTTATATCTAGAAATGGTCCTGTTGAATCGCCGCCAAGATCGTGTGATTTAACACCTCTAGATGTTTTGTGGGGCTACATCAAATCATGAGTCTATGCCAACAAGCTCGTTAATGGAGCTCAGAGCCAATACTGGACGAGATATATTAGCCGTTTCTATCGAAATGTGTGACCGAGTCATTGAAAATTGGGTTCAACGAATCGATCGCTGCGAACGTGCCCGTAGTGAATATCTGAACAAGGTCGAATTCCATACATACATTTTTTGAGTGTACTTCAATGCAATAATAAAATTTTCAAGATATCTCAAATGGTTTGTGTTTTATTTAAAAAGAAATTTGTCAAGTCCTTAATGGAAAGCAATATAATAAGAGGGATATAATTATTGCGCCTCAAATGGCTAAAAGTATGAACAATATCAATTGGAAAAGCTGTCAGATAGTCGGTGTTAAATATGACCTTTGTATAGTTTTTAAAGTCTAGAAAAATGTTTCTGAATCTGTGCAGGGTTATAATGTATCATACTATATCTCACCATGAAGCGTGTTCAAAACACACTTATTGATATACGAAGTAATATTGACAGGATCTTTTTTATTGCCATCAAAGTCTCTGGTGAATTTGCGTGCATTTTCCATAAATATATCAATATAACTTTCCAAAATGTTTATGTGAAAATATGGTTGTATATGTTTTCTGTTTTTCCTCCATTTGTGGCCTGAAATTCATGTAAATACAGGTTTTATCTGAGACTTATGAACATGCATTTTTACCGTTATTTGTTATTAGTCCTGCTCCGACAAAATTATGCAAAATGCTGTAAAAGACATTTTTCTTTGAGCTTTTGCTATTTCCAAGTATGATTTTTAAATGATTCGGTTCATACACCCAAATGAAGGGCGCTAAAGAAATCCAACACCTAAATAAGGAACCATACAACTGAGATGCGTTTGTCCCCAATTCGGCCATCTCTGAAAACAAAAACATAATTGCTTATAAAAACTTAAAAAACGTGACAAATACAAAAAGCTAAATAAAACCGATTAATAATAATATAGGACTGAAAAATATGTTTGATTTATGGTATACTATCATATCCAACTTTGACCCTGATACTAGTAGGTAGCCGATAAACATTTACAGTCACTTAACTATAATTATTATTTTCTAAACGCGTATCACCAATATGAGGAAAATAGTAAATTACCATGATCAATGTAACACTTTTTATATAGACTATTTTTCTTTTAATTGTAACTCACTATAATTCTATGATTTATAGATCCAAACATTCAAGTTGCTGTTTTTGAATTGAGCAAAAAAGCAAAACATGTACAACACAAACAAAGAGTTGAAAAATATTGTATGTAGGTGCTCCTTATAGATGATAAAACTTACTTGGAAAATCCTTAACGGTTAGTACATTTCCTAAAATTGGCAATGCTGGAGGACCTTTTAAACGAAATGCGAGGCATACCGTTCTGAAGTAATCTCTCAAGAACCTTGCACATGTCAGCAGTGAGAAGAAAAGTACAGGCAGTATAACATATACCAAGTCAACCATCATTCTACAAAAAGACATTAAATTATTTTCGAAAATAAATCTTTATAGGTCTACGTGTAAGGTAATAAAATTCTTTATATCAATTCGCTCATTATACAGGGTGTCCCAAAAGTCCTTATCCGATTGTGCGTGGTTTTTGAGGTACAATTATAATTCACTTCTTTTAAGACTGTACTATTTTCTTCTTAAGTTATTGTTTGTTATTTTTAAACGATATGTTCCCAAATGATGTGCCGCTAGAAAATTTAGTCCAGTTAATATAGGTACAGCAATCGGTTAATCTGCAATTTTGTTTGCTGTCAAGAAGATTCTGGCACCTTTAACGAGGCCTGTACAAAGATTAGTAGGCAGATAAAGTGTCCATTGTACTGAAAAACTTCTTGACACTATGGCCTTTTAAAAAGTATATATAAAATATAAAGATAATCAAATATCCTAAATGGTTGCTGCGCAAAGTTGACAAAATGCTGCAGGTACCCTAAATCCGCAAATTCCCATTTTTTAACTTAACCCTTGATCATCTAATATCGATTTTCCATCCATATAGGATAAGCAAACACTTATATTACAATAAATCATCAAACCTGAATGAATAGCCGGTATAATCATTCCAAGGTCTGGCGGCCTTGACATCATTTTGGGTATTAAAAGCGTTACTGAAATAGTGCAGTATTACTTAATCCTGTAAGCTCAATTACCAGCCTTATGTGATTCAAATAGAAGACAGCAAATCCTTGAATGTGATTATTAGATCCCGTGAATGTGATATTTGAGTTTTATTTCCTCTATATCCTCTGGGTCGTTCTTTTTATTCATAAAATATGTTGCGGCTCTGGAAATCTTTACAGGAGATGGTCGATGTGTCTTCCTTCTGCTCTAGCGCAAGCTCTGCATCGTCGTAAAAAATTATTTCAAGCCGCTGTATCATCTGTGGATTACTGCAAATGCTGTTGCTTGCAGTAGCAATCTTTTTTCTTAAAACTTGTACGGTTGGAGTCTCACTATTTAACACTGCCTCCTTCATATAACCCCATAAAAAGAAATTGATGGAATTGAGGCCTGGTGAAGGTGAACGAGGCGGTCTTCGTCCTGTCCATCGGCCTGAATATGTGCGACTTGGAAAATCCCTGCCTTGGCGTACATTGTGTGGAGCGGCACCATCATGTTAGAATCACATCATTGTGCGTCCGGCTAGAGGAATTTTATCTATCATATCAGCTAACAGATCTGGTAAATTGTTTTCTAGAAAAATTTTCCACGCAACAGAGCAAATGGGCCAATTAATTGACCATTTAGTAGCCCAGCCGTCGCGTCGTTGCATTCAGTTGCCCAGTTGACGTCGTATCTGTGTTGGAAGCGGTCCCGCTTTATCATTCATGGATTCCCTACAGCCCATTGATGTAAGAGTTATGAATGTGTAAATTTCGTTCGTCCATAAGGTTTTTTGAAGAACTGCGGGACATTTCTGCATTCTTGGAGCATCCTTCTATAAAACTCGACTCTTTTTTAGTATTCTTCTGGACGAAGCGCCTGCACATGTTGAGTGTGAAATGGGTGAGGCTACCCTCTCTATAGAATTCGGTGTACTGTTGATCTAGCTAGACCAGCACTCCGCGAAAGATAGCGCACGCTGCTAAAAGACTCATTTTCAGTTAACTGTAGTACCACATCTTCAGCATCTACTTTGATCCTTGGCATTCCTGTTTTTTCTGGTCTCCCAGGCATTTCTCCTGCTACATAGGCACCATGTTCATGAATAAATATTCAAAAATTTGGTCTACGGGCATATCAGTTTCGATTTTCTTCGGCAGCACGCCGAGCATTTTCATTGCACAAACCATAAATGAAATGAATTTCTGCATATTCCTGTGACGAGTACGCATTACCCACGCATCCATTCTGTAGTACGGGTGTTTGTTTATGTCGTCTACCTTTTTTTATTAATCTATTGATCACGTAATATGGCGGGATTTCTATAACCCTTCTATTACCCAAAATCATGTCACGGACGCCCTCCCGTACATTGAGACCTGGCACTTCTTTAAATTTTAGGATTTGTTGTCCCTCAATTGTCTCCCCGTCATATTCAGAATGCAAAAGATCAACAAAGGCAGGTAAAGTGTTAAGTCTGAAAATTGTGAATTTACGGATTTAGGATATCTGCAGGAATATTTGACTATCTAATAGGTATTTTGTATCGAGAATGCACAGGACTCGTTGAATATGCTACAATCTTTTTGACAACAGGCAAAATTACAGATTAGCCGATTGCAGTACCTACATTAACTGGACTAAATTTTCACACATAGCTCCAGCGCCATATCATTAATTTGGGAGCATAATGTTGTGAATCTAATTAGAAAATAGCAAAAGTGAACTTGTCAAAAATAGTACAGTCTCAAAAGTAGCAGTTTTCCACAAATTAATAAAAATGGCTAAAAACCGTGCATAATCGGATTAGGACATATACTGAGTGACAAAAAAAGGTAAGCGCCTACGTATGATATCCGATTTTATTAATTTGGCATATATGTTCAGTGTCCCTTAGTCGTAAAAGGATTAAATTTTCAGCTTGATTTGTCAACTGACTGCAAAAGCTGGTTCAATAATATGTTGAGGATCCACGATTTCTTATACACTCATTGACTCGCCTGGGCATCGTGCTGATAAGGTGGTCGATAACCTGTTAGGGTATCTCATTCCAGGCTACCGCAACTTCGTGAGTAAGAGCTGCTTAGGTCTGTGGATGGTGTTGCAAATTCAAGACCCTGCGACCTATCATGTCCCAGACATTTTCAGTTGGAGATAGGTCAGGCGATCGCGGTGGCCAAGGTAAACGGTTGATGCGATGTTGATCCATGAAGGCTAACGATGCTCTGGCAACAAGCCAATGCCATCTTGCTGAAAAATTGGGTTTTGGATGGTGTTAGGTATGGAATAAGATGAGACTAGACTACTTCCTCAATATAGAGTCGGTCTGTCATATTACCTCTGATGAAAATTAGTGCTGATCTGATACCATAGGCAATAGCACCCCATACCATAACTCCCACCGTGTGGCGAACGTGATGCTCTCTGTCAAATTGTGGATCACGTCTTTCACCACTTCGCCTTCTCACTCTTGCCCGACCATCGTGCATCCCCAGACAGAAGCGGGATTCGTCACTAAAGACCACCTTATTCCATTCCCTGTCCCACAAAATTCTTTCTCTACACCATAGCAAACGGTTACGCCGCTATTCAGCTGTGAGAGGTAGCACCCAATGCGGGCGATAAGAAAAAAGGCCAAACTGTCGTATTCTTTCGGCGATACACCGTACGCATACCCACCATCCTTCCATGCTCTTCAAACCACTGGGTAGCGATGGCTCGAGTACTACTGAATCTGTCTCTTAGGCCAGTATCGTCAGTGGTCCCTACAATTGTAGGGCGCGTTTATGGCCTCCTTGATTGTCATACTGCTTTCTCTCCTTCAAAAATTTCTAGATTACACTTGTCCCGTGTCAGCGTCAGCGCTCTCCTATTGTGAAGATATGTTTTCTTTTTAAATTGTAGGAAATCTCAGGCTGATAAAACATGATATAACTCAAAAGCAAGCACAATTTGATGCAAATAGATGTTTGTGACCTCAAAATAGAGCGCTGACACGGAGAAGTAGAAAACTATGACAATCAAGGAGGCCATAAAGGCGTCCTACAATTGTAGGGACGACTGACGATACGGGCCTTAGAGCCAGAAGTCTTAACCGGTGGTTTTGTCGCCCTGTGGTCCCTCTGGGAGGTCCAGAATCCCTCGCTCACTGTCCTCGGCATTTCTAGTCCACGCACGTTCACACTGCGTATACTGCGTAAGGATCTGTGGGTCCTCCTAGAATCTTCTCTTATCGATAGACCGGCTTCACACAACCGGACCATTCGACCCCTCTCACAGTCACTTAGCTGGGACACCCGGCGAATTATACGCACTCTAGGCATTTTGAGCAACCACAAGAAGGCTTCCCAATAAGCTACCCGAACTTTAACATTTAACTGACACCGTAAATGTACGAAAACTGAATTTATTCATCACCGAACAATACACCCAGCTACCAGAAAAACTTGACAGAAAAACTTGACATTCGTAGGTGTTTACCTTTTTTGGTCACTCGGTATAATATGGTTTTTCTGATTGCAAATGATCTCCCCTATCATCTCCTTCCGTTTGTCCTATGACTTTTGGGACATCCTGTATAATACATATTCAGTTCACTTCCTATGATTTGAAATGGCGTTTATTTGATTTTGTTGACATCCAGGCTCCAAGAGATCTTCAATACGTTTTAATTGTTTAATCTCACCTTGAATATCTTGCATATCTGCACGGTCTTCAAGTGGAATAATACGTATTGTAATGAACTCAATAATTTACTGCGCTATGTGGATAGTCACTTTTGAGTTAATATTGTTACTGTACATGAAAACAATCATAAAAATATGATTTCAAGGCGTTTTTCATTAAACGCTTTGAATATATTACAGAGAACAAAATTATTGAACAAATCGACGTAGAGAATGTTTGAGCTGGACATTTACAAGATTTGTTTATTATTTTGTCGCTATTCAAATATCTATAGTTGTAGATCATTCATAACATGCTAGAATAGCATATTTTGCTTAAATTTTCTTGAAAGTTTTTGAAAGACATATTACAAGGCTTCTGCAAAATGCTCATTATTCTTCCTGATATATAGTGTCAATAAAAATTGCTAAGTCCTTGGATAAGACTAAATCATGAGAAAAACATCAAGCAAAACCAATTTGTATCTTCAAATATGGAAAATGGCTTAAACCTTGCACCTGCACCAAATATCAAAGTACACCATAGCACGAACATTAGGCCTTGAAATCTTTGAGCATATGTTGACTACTAGTGGACAAACTGGTTTAAGGCTGCTATTAAAAGAATTAAAACTTTCAGGTGAATCATACAATTTAGTAATATTTGAATGAAATCCTTTCATCTGATACATCATTCAAGAATATTGGGTTGCTCAGCCTCACGTTTACCTTCACCTAACTTTTAAACTACTGAATATGAAACACAGCTAAGTACCATGCCAAATTTGAGTTTACAAAATCAAATCGTTGATGCCTATTTTTTGGTCATAGGTCTAATTTTTGTCTATCGCAAATGTAGCGGTATTGTTGAAATGTCCGTGAAATAATTCCTTTGTATAAAGATTATATACGGTCCTGCAAAATAAACATTATGGTTCGAATTCTCTATAACCTTTTTATTAAAACGGTAAAGGTAAAGGTATAATTGACAAGATCTCTTAGACGTAGGCCACAATCTGCTTCTCTGGTACTGTAGTTTTTTTATAGTGATTCCCACAACTTTCCACAACATTCCGGGCGTTATGACTGCGATTCCGCTACGAATATTGTCTTTTAAGTAGACAATGTTCCTATGTTAATTCATGGATATGCATTCATTCAAATATCCCCAAGTTAAAGATCCAAAGCGGTTGAACCTAGTGAATTAGGAAGTTAATTTAAATATTTGTTTCTCCGCCAAATGATGTGGTCATCAAAAATCCGCTCATTAAAAAAATATTGAGGCATTATTCCTTTTTGAGCGTCACTGCTGGACTTTTGTGAAAAACTCTCACGTAAACGTTCTATAGTTCCACCTGTCAGCACTGTGCATTATCTCTCACCAATATGAAGATTTAATACTGTCCTTTCTTGTAAAAAATAGAAATAAAATCGGACTATTTTGATTCATTTCTCAGTCGTGTATCTCCAAGCCCTTTTCACTAAATCCTTAAAAATAAAAACAAAATTTTGAAAAACAAACGCTATTCTGTTCAAGAATGAGTAATGAATCTCAAACTATTTGTTACGAAAAGGCAAAATAATAATCCATAAAAATAAAAAGTGAATTCTGAAATATGTAGGTATTTTTCGTCATTATGTTTAAAGGTAAAAATAAGACACACTTTGAACACGGATGAGTAATGAATCTCAAATTAATTGTTACAAAAAGTTCAGACAAAATCATAATCATTAAAAATAAAAAGTGAATTCTGTAAAACCGATTTTCCGCCATTTTGTTTAAGAGAAAACCACGCAAGAGTGTTGAATCTTAAATTAATTGTTACAAAAATTTGTGACAAAATGAAATATAAGATTAAAAAGGGAATTCAGAAAAACGGATTTTGCGCCATTATGTTTAAGGGTGAAAACAAGACACACTTTAAATACGCAGAGTAATGCATCTCAAACTATTTTTGCAAAAAGTTAAGACCAAACAATAATCCTTAAAAATAAAAAGTGAACTCTGAAATATGTAGGTATTTTTCGTCATTCTGTTTAAAGGTAAAAATAAGACACACTTTGAACACGGATGAGTAATGAATCACAAATTAATTGTTACGAAAAGTTCAGACAAAATAATAGTCATTAAAAATAAAAAGTGAATTATGTAAAACGGATTTTCCGCCATTTTGTTTTAGAGAAAAACACGCAAGAGTGTTGAATCTTAAATTAATTGTTACAAAAATTTGTGACAAAATGAAACTTAAGATTAAAAAGGGAATTCTGAAAAACGGATTTTGCGCCATTATGTTTAAGGGTGAAAACAAGACACACTTTGAATACGCAGAGTAATGCATCTCAAACTATTTTTGCAAAAAGTTAAGACCAAACAATAATCCTTAAAAATAAAAAGTGAACTCTGAAATATGTAGGTATTTTTCGTCATTCTGTTTAAAGGTAAAAATAAGACACACCTTGAACACGGATGAGTAATGAATCTCAAATTAATTGTTACAAAAAGTTCAGACAAAATAATAGTCATTAATAATAAAAAGTGAATTATGTAAAACGGATTTTCCGCCATTTTGTTTAAGAGAAAAACACGCAAAAGTGATTAATCTTAAATTAATTGTTACAAAAATTTGTGTCAAAATGAAACTTAAGATTAAAAAGGAAATTCTGAAAAACGGATTTTGCACCATTATGTTTAAGGGTGAAAACAAGACACACTTTGAATACCCAGAGTAATGCATCTCTATTTTTGCAAAAAGTTAAGACCAAACAATAATCCTTAAAAATAAAAAGTGAACTCTGAAATATGTAGGTATTTTAGGTCATTCTGTTTAAACGTAAAAATAAGACACACTTTGAACACGGATGAGTAATGAATCTCAAATTAATTGTTACAAAAAGTTCAGACAAAATATTAGTCATTAAAAATAAAAAGTGAATTATGTAAAACGGATCTTCCGCCATTTTGTTTAAGAGAAAAACACGCAAAAGTGATTAATCTTAAATTAATTGTTACAAAAATTTGTGACAAAATGAAACTTAAGATTGAAAAGGAAATTCTGAAAAACGGATTTTGCGCCATTATGTTTAAGGGTAAAAATAATATACACCTTGAATATTGATGGATCTCAAATTAAATGTTATAAACTCGAATCAAATATTATAAAAGGTTAAGGTGGTAAAAGTTAAGTGAATTGTAGGAAAGATATAAGACGTAAATGATATTTGAAGCAAAAAATAATAAATAGGAACCGCGTTGTAGGTATAAGCAAACTTTACAGGTATTAGGCGAATAAGAGAAGAATCCTACCTTTATTGTTATTGTTGATGCTTTTATCACTGTAAAAATGTAAAAAAAAGGAACTGCTAGATGCACCAGGGGTTACAATGCGAAGAGCTCACACCGCACTACCATTCACATGAGGAAAATAAAAATATAAATAATGTCAGCAGCAGGTGTCTAGATTTACTTATGGATTGTGGCAGTTCGGATTTCCTGCAAAATAACCTTTTGCGCTTTACGCGTCGCGCAAAGGCGCACCATTGAACGTGAACATTTGTTTAAATGCTCTAATCACTGTTGCGTTACTAACACTTATGTTAAATAGGTATATTTTTATTGCTGGTGTATACCGTCTATTTGTGTAATGCGGATATCGGACAGACAAAATTAAATTTTGAACATGAACAGGTAGACAAGTTTATTAAAATTACAATCACGGTTATAGCCGGTATCAAAATTAACTTTTTTCACCTATACTGACACAATAAATTTATATTCCGTCTCGGTTTTGTGTATTTTGATCTCCTTCTTTTGAAAATAATGATCCTTATACTCGGACCTGATGCATAAACATAAAATGTAATTTGTTCCAACTTAATAAAAATTCTTGCAATATAGCAAAATGGCGAGGTTATTACGTAGAAAAGCTATATATCGTCAAAAAACAACCTACAAAATGTCAACTTGCTGACTAGATAGTTCCTAATGTACAAATAGTTCATTCCTCTATTGCTTCCTATGAGCGCTGTAAGTGTCACCAAAGCGTCATATGTGTAGGAATGACTTTAGGACACGCTTAACGATTAGTTAAGTCAGTTCCCCAGCATGCTTTGTTGGTTGCAGAATGCAGTCTGTAGAGTATATCTGATGTGACAGAAAGAAGATTAGTTGACTAGCAAGATCGCATCTGTCTGTATGAGTAAGTATAAAATATGTGATATTTGCTGAGTGAGAAAATTATTACTGAATATGCTGCCCATGAAGTATATCCTATAGCTGTAGTAAACGAGATAAATATTTGTTGACCTTTCCGAAGAGAAGTTATGTTCAAAGTTATAAATTACCATATGCCCCGATTTTTTGAGTTTTTAAAATCTTTGAGAAGCATTACCGGAAATCACCACCATGTCATCGCTGTGTGTAATTAAGCCACATCACAAACAAAATTAGCGAAGATGCATCACACACAACATATTTTCGCAGCGCCTCTCATCTAGACGCTGATTTGTTTTTTCTACTTACATCGCAAAATAAATTACAATTAAATTTAAATGAATGGAAATAAGAAGTAATGTAAAATGTACTAACCCTCTGACGTTTTATAAATATTCTTGTCAGTAGCCTATTTTATCACCTGTAAAAAATCCTTCAGCAACCAAGGATTTTCTTTTTTTATCTCTCTCATTTTTCGAATTCAGCAAATTAGTATATGTAATTTCCAGGATGAAGCATACATCACAAGTAAAGGCATTTAAGTCAAGAAATCAAGAGAATTATTATCAAAACAGATTATTAGCAGATACATCTCCACTAAGCACCTATGCACTGCCGTTTCCTTCCAGTTATAGTATACATCTTACAGATTACAGAAGAAAGGGGTTGTCTTGCCTTCCTTAACATACTGCGACCCAAATGGATCTATTATGACCTCCCATATATACTTTCTAAAGCACTGTGTCCAGTCTTGATCCATTAGTCAGACTCCATAGCCTTTACACATGGCTGAGCATGTAGCCTTCCGTATTGGAACTGTGGTTCCTACTATCTGAAGCCGTAGCCCTGCCCGGTGTTCACAGTGACTCAGAAGATGCAATGGGGTCTCATCATGCTCTCTGAAGAAACAGTATATGCCAGACCCAAGAGCCTGGTATGTCCATTTAGACGACAGTGTCCTGTCATGAGACACACTTCGTTCTTTGATGAATTCTTTTGTCTGCCTTTGTCCCAATTGGCTGTTCCACCATTCTAGGGACTTTTTCTTGGTCCAATTTCTTATAGACTGTTTAGTGCGTGTTCTCGTCACGCCACAGAAAGGCTTTGGATCTATGAGGCGACTGGCCGGATCCTGTCGGGCTAGCACAGCTGCCCTTTCATTTACTTTATGCCCTTCGTATCCTGGTGCCCAAAGTGATGTTACCTTACTATGATTTCCCAACCCTTTGAGAGCGTTCGCGCAATCCCATACTAGTTTAGACGATATTTGCCATGACCTTAATGCCTTTATGGCTCCCTGACTGGCTGAGCGGATGGCGATCGATTGATTTGCAGTCTCATTCCTTATTAGCTTTTTTGCGCAGACTTGTATGAGCGTTATTTCATCCTGAAATATTGTTTTAATATTATCTAGACTTATAGAGATCTCAGTTCCAGCTCTGTTTTGAGCTTTCGAGCCGTCTCTGTACCAGTAGCGTCTGATATGTATAGCAGGGTCTTTCCCATACGCATTCCCTTCTAGTACTAGTTTTTGCTGGTTTTTATCGATATTGTGCACTGGGATAGTTGTGTCCGTGGGCATTACCAATATAGGATCTGCCTTCAACTCCATGTTCAGTGTTTGATGGTCTTTTCCGTGCTGCCGAGTGATCGGTGATTGGCCTTGAGTTAGTCTGTGAGCCACGAAAAGAGCATTACAATAGTGGTTTGGATGCCAGCCAGCAGTGCCTATCATCTAGTATGTAAAAAACAATACAATATCAAAAAACCGACAAAATGATTATGAGCTCTCGTCCATGGAGGTATGACGACACCCTCAATGACCACGCTGCAAGACAGTTCCCCAGTATGCTTTGTTGGACGCAGAATGCCGAGATAGTCTGTGGAGTATATCTCCTTATGGTCTAATCATATTATTATAATTGTAAAGTCTGGTTTTATTGCTGCAAGTTGTTCAAGAGGATATTCAAAACATGGACGCATAAAATGGGTACACCAATTTTTGTGGGAAAACTTTTTATTCGTCAACAAAGAATGTGAAAACGTATTTTTTGGGATCCAATCAAAAGTGTTGGCAGAAACAGAAAACTTTTCATATATGATTTTTAGGTATTTATGAGACCTACAAAATGAGACCACACATAAAGACATCCGACTAACAGCAAAAAAGTTATGGCCGATAACCGAGGCAAACTGAAGGTCTTGGCACTTGGTAATGCGACGATGGTTTCTCGCAAATATTTGAAATTCATCAAATTCGTAGGACTCATACTTCTAAATAACCACAATAAAATTGAAGTAGATTGGTCTAGTAGTTATTGAGAATTTCTAATTGTTTATCCCAAAACACATGTTTTCCGGCCGTCACTATCAATTTATTGAGAAATATACAGGGTTAGTTCATTATATATCAAAATACTTTAGTTTACCTTGCCGATATGAATCGCAAACCCTTCCAGAAGATAAATGATTTTTCCACAAAAATTGCTGTACCCATTTTATGCGTCCATGTCTTAAACATCTCCTTGAACAAATTGCACCAATAAAACCAGACTTTACAATTATTTCGGGGAAATTCGCTGAGTAGCAAGATCGCATTTGTATGATGAAACCAGTAATATTTGCTATGTAAGAAAATCATTACCGAATATGCTGCCAATGAAGTATATCTATGAGCTGTGCCAGACGGGTTATTTGTGTTGTGCTTTCTGGAGAGAGGTCATTTTCAATATTATAAATTACGATTCTCCCCGTTTTCAAAAACTTTGAGAAGCATAACGGGAGATCACCACCTCGCCCGCATTGTATTTAATTCAGCCACATCACAGGAAAAATAAGCATGGCGTATCCCAAACAAAACATTTCCACACATCTAGGCGCGGATTTGTATTTTCTACTTGACGCCACAAAATAAACTTATATAAAATTTAAATGACTAGAAATAGAAATTAATGCAAAATGTAATAACTTTTTCACTGTGGCATATTTCTCACCCATTGGTTGTAATATACTTCACCAACGAGAAATTTGCTTTACTTGTCTTTCATTTTTTAAATTTAGCAAATTTGCATATGTAATTTTTAGGATGGATAAGAAAAAATGTATTCGCAACTAATTTCTGGCTTTCTCAAGTAAGTGTGTTTGAGACAAAAAACCGATGGAATTACAACATCATTATTAGAACACAGAACCAAGCTTTGATAGCTGAAGCATCATGACCTTTAGGCAACTACGTACAGCTACAGAACGAGTGCACATCAAGTAAACGACAGTTACTCGTAGTTCTAAGTTGACATCCTGTAGAAAAACATAGATAATGTCACAAAAAATCTATATAATGTCAAAAAAACCGACATAATGTCATTTTTCAAGATACGAAATACCTCTGCGGTACTCATTCAATATTATATTCTCCTGAACTGTTCTAGTGCTAAGCACTGCTGAGTTACTCCGAGTAACTTCAGTTGGTAACTAAAAAGCAGCTTTATAATGCACCTAAAAGGACTTGGCATATATGTGTACTTCTTATGAGAGCTCGAGATTTCCTAATTTTTATGAAAATTTTGGGCTGTTTTAGATATCTTGATGAAAAACTTCCATGAACACAACTTGATCTTTAGACTACCTTTAAAAAAAAATTTTAAAGATGGACCACTTATTGGTTTTGCTGAAACGTGACTTTTTCGCAGTAGTTGGGTGCTAATTTAGTCATAATCATTTTGGGATGCTATATGTGTTATAATTCAAGAGACAAATAATCTAGTATTTTCAATTGCTAAAATTTGCGGAACCTTACTGTTGAACTTGAAATTTTAAAAAAGTTATAGCTGATTTGCTTCCTACTAAGACAAAAATATCGCTGCCTGTACAAGCATTTTTGTAACCTTCGCCTCCGCCACTGGCCGTCGCGCTGACGTCACGACTGCCGAGAAGCAACACCGCCCCAGAAGGACTTCCTTGCGGACCGTCAAGCAAGATACACATATTTGTAACCACATCATTACAATGTAGATACAGTCCACTTAAACGAAAAATAAACAGTACCAAACAAAAATAGAGTCTTCTTAGAAGACTAGTTGGAAAATAACCCATCACTGCCAACTCTCAAAAAAATCAAATATTGAATGATAATTGAGATGTATATTTAAAAAAAAATCATTTTTGATGTATCTCGATCAAGTTGTGATTGTGGTGACTTTTCATTGGGGTGTTATGAATATAATTTACTTATACATTTTCAGCTAAATCCAAAATCTCAAAGTCCTCTATGAAGTATGCTGGTCCCTATATATATTTCATCGCAAATAACTCACAGTCAAACAGACAGGCAAAATGGAAGCTGGCAAGCGTGTCGCCTCATGTTGGCCTGCCATTATGCCATTGGTTGCTCGGGGTCACACGCACATGCGCCATAGCCAAAAA